CTAATTAAATGTTAAAAACCAATGGGGTTTTTGAGTGTCTTTTAGAGTAAACCTAACCAACCCCTTGCCATTGTCTGCAAAAAAAAAAAAAAAAAAAGTATGCACTTGAGGTGTAATTGAGGATGTTCCATTTATTTAGCACTGCAACAAAACTTAACACAGATTTCCAAGATAGCAAAAGCCTCTACATTAATGATGATACTAGATACAGAGGGGGGTAATGACTTTTCATTAGAGTGAAAGGGAGAGACCCATACACATTTCACTGCTTTTGAACCTGTCAAGTACTTGGCTGTTTTGACTGAAAGAGGGTTAATATCTGAAGCCCAGTAAACCCACAAACAGAATCATAAAGCTGTCTCAATAATTAACACTCCTGTGTCTGTCAGTAGCTAGTTTATTTGCGCTTTCCCTCCATTTGTTTATATTTCCCCCTTTCTACTACCCTCACCTCCTACGCTTCTGGGTAACTCCAGATCTATCTGCACCAGTATTATTTATCTTGAGTTTCAAGTCTATTTTTCTTGGTACAGATCAAACTGTTAACTTTCTTTAACAGTTCAATTTATTTATTGCAGAAAAAAAATATACAATGATATTTACAAAACAATCATCAAAATAGGAATGCATTTAGACACTGAATCTATTTGCATTTTAACATGGGTCATCAATAAATAAATAGAATGATTCATTTTTGTCCCACTCCCACCTCCCTTTAAAAAATTTTTTTCCAGGAACAATTCCAAAACAAAGCAAAACTAAAAAGGAACCTGAAATATTTTGCTCATGAGAGTTTGAGCCAATGAGGTTTTGCTGCTGAAATGGTTTTTGGGCGGTGGGTGGGAAAATTTCCCTTTCTCATTCCTTAAAAAAGGGGGGTTCGTTGTCATTAGATCTGTTCAAAAAGAAGGGTGGGGGACTCCAGTAACATATTTCCTTTCATGAGTGGCTCATAAGCTCTCTAGGGAATGCATGCATGCAAAAAAGAGGGAAAGGAAGTAGGGAAAAAAGTTCCAACATTCTTCGTCAAAATGGTAAGGGGGGGGGGGGAAGCTGGTTCAGATTTCGATCAGAATGCAGAGATGTTTGGTAGATCATCCAGCCTTCACTCTGGATCAGCCACCTCACCGTCTGAGGGGCTCTAGGTCTCTTGCCTCAATTGCTCTCCCCACGCCCTGCTCTTTGCAACCTGGACCAAGAACGGGTCTACATTTCCAAGAAAATCCTTGGCGTGCTAGTCTGAGAAGGGGGAAAATAACCCCGGGAGGTGGAGTGAGGGCGAATCCAAGTGCAGAGTCTCTAGTTTGTCCATTTTCTCTCCTTCCCTTTGAGAACAATGTTATCTGGGAGGAAAAAAGAGAGAGACAAGAAGGGAAGGGGAGAAGGGAGAAAACTGTTACTAGAAAAAAGAAAAACATTAACCCTCTTAGAAAGAGAGGGCGAAGCGAGAAGAAAAAGCTTCTTTTCGCGACCCTCCAGAGCTATGACTCTGCTCGCTTCAAGCCGAGGTTTGCAAGGCTGCGTGAGGGTGTGAGTGCAAGTGCGTGTGTATGTAGGGGGGAATTGTAGCACAAAGGAAGGCGGGTTGGGTGGGGGGAAGGAACATTGGCAAGGCATGAAATCAGGAAACGCGCTGAAGGAAGCGTCACAGAGATCTATCTCGGGCGAATCTAGTAAATGGGGGATATATTATCCTCCTGGAGCTTAACTAAATTCTCCCTTAAATAAATCCTTGCTCCTTTTGGAGGTAACTTGCTTCCAAGGAAGTCTGTTTCGGGAGCCGGAATTCCTGAGTTCTCCAGTCGCCTAGTAGGAAGCCAGCCACGCTTAACCACCTAGTGTAGTGGGGGAACTGGATGGGGTTAGGAAGAGTGAAAATAACCAGAGTTGATGTGTGCTGGCCCGCTGGCATCCTGGATCGAGCATCGGGTCCAAGAAAATCGAAGAAGAACGAGCGCAGCATTGTACAGATATTGTACAATTCTACACGTCCATCACATGCAACCACCAAAGCTTTGGAACAGAGTCATTGGTCTTCGCTTTCCAGCGGAGGAGACCTCAAGCTTTGGGTCCCGCTCTTTGAACAATCTGACCAAGAACAGGCTGGCATTTAGCCAGCTTTTCCCACCGATGGAAATTCTGCTGAAATAGCCCCCTTCTATAGCCCTCCACCCTTTACCCAAGAAGTTTAGTCTCTTTCTCTCCCAGCCTAGTTCTCTCTCCAATTCTCCACATCCCCTCTAGTTCAGCCCTCCCAGGCTGTGGTTAGGGAAAGGGGAGGCTGGAGAGAGGGGACCAAGAGAGGGATCGGCTAGCGCCTTTTCCTCCCAATCTGGTGCCTTTTGGACACCTTGGACATCAAGACGCCTCATTCCAGCCAAATGGGACATGGGCTGATCTGGCAAAGGAAGCAACTGGGGAAAGGCTGACCTAATGCCTTGAATCTGCTCAGATTTACTCAGACATAAACCCAAATTGTTTCAGAATTGAGTTTACAAAAGAAGGATTTCTGGGTAATTATAAGGATTTTTGCAGTTGATCCTCCCACCAACTCCAGTTGGTAGGATTTCCTCCAAAAGAATGCCTGTTTACTGGGTAGGAAAAGCTTATTTTCACATGGTCCAAGAGCTGCAGATAAAGCTACAACCCTATGTGTGAAGAATTGAACTCAGTAGGACTTTTGAGTAAACAGGCACAGGTTCAAGCTTGAAGCCCTTTTTCTTCTCTCCCCCAATCCAACTTTCTAGAGGACCTTTAATCTTTGAAGTGATATTTCCATGTGTTCATGTTTTTTTACATCATGGCCTAATTTAACAAATTACCCTATCCCTTCCCCCCCCAAGTCGACAGTGATAAGTTGCAATACAGATACCATCTTACCTGGGAGTATGACCTGTTGTGTTCAGTAGGATAAGGATCATACACTCTACTCACACTGGTATCTACAAGTCAGTTCCAATAAAATAGCGTGATTTGCCTCAGAATAAATGCTTTGTTATCAGGTAATTCTAGATCAGGTAAATCTGGAATATATAACAGGACTTAACCTCTAGTTCTACCTGAAGGAAAAGAATGTGTGTTTGTAATGCATGGCCAAAATGGAACAATTCATTTTTAAAGAACATTCATAGCTTTATTCAGGTATCCTGTCACTTATATGCAAGTGAATAAAGCCCTCCATAGGCAAAAAAACTAGGCTCCAAAAAAGAGAGCCCTTTTGCTATTAAAACTAAAAAAAAAAAAAAAAAATCCTTTAATTTTGAATTAACAGATTTAACCATATGACTCCCATGTACACTTTATCCTGATGAATTTTCTAGCAGGAAAGTATACAAAAATGTTAAGAGAAGAACTAAAGTTTTTAAAAACATATTAGGGTTCAGGTTATTAGTGCCACCAATGCACATTTCTAGGGCAAGATCAGCAAATACTACAAGGGGAGATAATAGGGCAACTTACATCATAGATCTGCATAGGATCTTACTGCATTTCTACCAAAATCATGGGCCTTTACCAGCTATAATCTGGAGAGTAATTATTGCTTGCTCACTTTCATAATATTTTGTTTTAGTTTTGTGACACCAGATGAAATTTCTACCCAAGCATTCCCTGTATGGCTATTCTCAAAATAACTAGTAGACCTTTGATAATACAGCTGACTATAATGGAGAAAGTTGTGCTTTGGAATTTCAGTTAGCCAAGGAAGTCTAGCAAAGAAGACTTTGAGCTTGGGATCTGCAACCTCCACCCAAATTTTGGTAAGTTAATTTTCTCATGATAGGAAAAAAGAGAACAACTCCCCCCCCCATGCAGTTAAGCATTCAGCTTCTTATTCCCACCATCCCTTCCTGAAATTGGGAATGTATGTGGAAAATCCAAGAGGTGCTAGTGTGACTATAAACCTCCTAATGTCATAGAGCTCCCAGGAGAATCTTGGAAAGAGATTCTTCCATGCTGCTCATTTACAGATATTGGTGGACTTCACTCTGCATAAAGCAAGAACGTTGCACAAGAAAATGAGCTTGGATATGTGTAAATGTTGGGGGGGGGAGGAGGAATGCAAGAAAAGCTTATTTTCTCTCAAGCCTATACTCCTTCCAAGGGAAAATCTTGAAATATAATAAGTGGAAAGAACATTTTCCAATAAAATAAATTAAAATGACTACTTCTGAAGGCAAACATGCAGAACATGAGAGGTTGTGCTTGGGAGGGGGAACCTAACAGCTGGATTTTAAAGAAAGCTTCCTTCCCTTGCCTAAATTTTTATAGGATTTTCTACTAAGGCCAACAGATGGCCGAGGTCTCCTGTTAAAAACCAAGAATAATTCTGGAGTATGGATGGAAGAAAATGAGGTGGCTAAGGCTGGGATAGATACTTGTGTGGAATGAGAGCAAGATGAGTGCTTGAGCTGGGAAAGTCCCTCTGAAAACACCTTTGGAATGAAGAGTAAAGGCTTGCTCAAGGATTAGCTACCCTGGTCCTCAATTTTCCTGCCAAGAAAAACAGGGTGGCTAAAATGGGCTGTTAAGATGTTCAATTCCTTTTACTCCTCACTCAGCTACCCCCACCCTCGGGTGGCACAGCTCTTGAAGGGGGAGGCTGTGTTGGCACTCAGAAGGACTTCCAGAAGAAGATTGAGGTAAGAACTCAAGCCTCTCTGAAGTTGCAGAGGATTCCTCGCAGCCTCCCTAACTAGCCTCTGAGAAAGACACCCCCCGCGCGCCATTTCTGCTGCTCTACAAATCAAGGGTCTCCTAGATCGAGGACCCTGTTGAGGGGAGAAAAATCCTCGGAAGCTTCGCCTTGGAAGCCTGACTGGATCCTTTGTAGAAGTAATCAATTGTTTTCCAAGGTCTTTAAATTCCAGAAATTTGTAGGCAGGATATCCTTGGGGAACGCTTTCTCGGCACTCCCCCAGGACAGCCAGTCCTTAGGCGGCCTCCTCACGAGGATCCCTCAGTTCCTCAGCCCACCGCTCCACCGAATCCTGCGGTCTTACCTAAGTCTCCAGGCACGCCAGGCTGCTCAGGACGCTAGTGGGAGGCGGACATGGACCAGGCGCCTTCCATGCGCCAAACGGAGAAGGCGTAGCTGAGGCGCTCGTGGGCCACATAGCTGCAGCTGGCCATCTTGGAGTCGAGCTCGTCGCTCTGCAGAACCTGATAGAGGAAGTCGATGTAGCGGGCGGCCAGCTTAAGGGTCTGGATCTTGCTCAGCTTGTCCGACGGCAGCGTCGGGATGATCTTGCGCAGAGCCGCGAAGGCTTCGTTCAGCGACTGCGTGCGCTGGCGCTCGCGGACGTTGGCCATCACCCGCTGCGTTTGAAGCTCCTCGTACGACTGAGGGCTGCCCCCGCCGCTGCTGCTGCCCCCGCCGCCCCCGCCGCTGCCCGACTTCTTGCCTCTTTTGCCTTGTGCTGGGCTACACGGCTCTTCTGCCGAGCCGAGACCCCCGCCGGTCACTCCGCCGCCCCCTCCGGGGCCTCCGCCGCCGGCTCCTGCGGCTGCCCTACGGCTCGAGCGCCTCTTCCGTCCCCCTCGTTTGCCGGCGCCTTGAAGCTGCTGCTGCTGCTGCTGCTGCTGCTGCTGCTGCTGTTGACGATCGGGCTCCTCTTCACTGTTGCTCAAGCTGTCGTCGGCGGGCGAGACTGGAGAGTTGGAGTCGTCCTGCTGCTGCATCATCTCGGGGGCCAACCTGCGGCGCACCGAGCAGCCCCCTTTGGAAGGGGCTAGTTGGGCCGGGAGATGCCTAGCCAGCCAGCTCCCCGCGGCTAGATCCTTGTCCTGTGAGAGTCCAGAGGAGGATAGCAGCAACGCGGCGGCGGCGACGTTCAGTTGGATGGGAAGGTGGGGGCCATGGGGAGCCGAAAAGAAAGCAGCAGAGGAGGGAGAATCTCTGGCGCTGTCAGCTCCCCTCCCGAGGGCTCCTCGGAGCTGGTTGGGAGTTGGGCGAAAGTTGCAGCCTGGGACTCTCTTATAGCTCCTGCTGGCGGAAAGTTCGGGGGCAGCGGTGTCATTGGCTTGACGTGGAGAAGGAGGGACTTTGTCGAGACTGAGACGAAAGTTTCCGCTTCCCCCTCCCTCCTCTCCGCTGCCTTTCCCAGACCGTTAGCCAGAGAATGGAGGGAGACCCTTCCCCAAGCCGCCGGCTGCTTTCAGAGGCTGCTACACTTCTGCCTTCCCTTCCCCCTTCCAAGCACACCAGCCTTTGAAGGGCTTCGGAGAAACGGGCTGTAAGCACCCCGATTCCTCCGCTCATCCTCTCCTAAGGTCCTCAAACTTTTTCCTTCCGAGGCGATCTGCTTAAGCACTTCCCCGAAAGCCATCTTAGTTCCGTCGAATCAAGGGGCATTGCTCTCCATACTCCCACCGTCTGCTTGGAAGGAGGGCCGATTTATGTGACAAGATTTACTTCCGAGTCATTCTTATCTGAATGCGTGGTGAGGGTCGATTTAGGGTCGATGGAATCGGTTGCCTTCACTGTCCACTAAGTTCTGAAGAAGATACTACCCAGCCCTTGGGTTTGTGGTCCATTTTAAGCAGGAGCCCCACTACCATTTAACCAATTCTGCCCATCACCAAATGTCAAAGTCTTCGAAAAAGAAACTGCGATCCTAAATAGGCAGTTTTCCGCATTGAAATTAAGTGATAGTTATATGTTTTGGTTCGGAGTAAGGACCCAGACAGTTCAGCAAGAGCGGTTTAATGAAACCCCCCAGTTCACGCGACCCCTAATTACAACTAGAGTGTAAACTGGGTTTGAGGAGAGGGGTTCCGCTTCTGCTAGGAGTGAATTCCAAGAATATCAAAGAGGGTGATAATTTCACGTTCAGAATGTGAATTAATTCGGGGCCATATTACATTCCGGGGAGCCTGTTCAAGTGTGTGCGGGATCGAGTTGCGTGTTGGACTCTGACTGGCTCCCCAGGCGCGACTTGGGGAATTTGATTCCGACGCCTCGGTCGCGGCTTTCCGTTGGCCGTTTAGAGAACAAGAGGTACACTTTCCAAGGGTGGCCCTTCAGCCCTGCTCGCTTCCCTAAGCGCCTCAGCGCCCGCTTCGGGCAGCCTGCGCGAACCGGAGAGTCCACGCAGTTCTTGGGTCAGAGATTGACTGGTTTCATGAGCGGGAAGAGGGAGGTTGATGGGCGGGGGGTGGGAGGAGAGAGAGACGTTTCGGTCTGTCAGAAATCAGAATTAGGGTGCCGTCTAGCTTCATTTCTGCCTTCTAAAGGCAGGGATCCCAGGTAATTTTCGACAGATGCGGCGCGTCTTGGGAAACCTCTTACTTTCCACCTCGCAAAAGGAAATTGCTTCTCGCTAGCCGACAAGCAAAACAAGAGGGGCCGAAGATATCCTGCAATGTCCTTGCTTCTGAACTGGGCCGGGAAGAAAACACTCCCTTTTCTAAAGGTATCCGAATAATTCACAAACTCGAGGTGACATAAGTATTCAGATGCTCCATGGATTGCTTCCTTCCACAGCGGAAGCACAGCGGGCTGTTCTCCAAAATAAATTGGACCAGGACCCATCTGGCATCCAAATAACAGCAGGGATGTGTGTTAAAAGATATTCCACCGCCTGCAGTGAAAGCTTTGTTATCTAGTCGCGACAATATTTGCCTTTTTTCTCAAGTATCTTCGTTCTGCCTTGATTCATCAATAATGTTGCGTTAAAGACGGAGAGCGCGGTGTGCTGAAGGTCGTTGGAAGCGAATACTTCCAGCTACCGAGCGCACCCAATCTTCTGCACTCTTAAATACATTACTACAATTCAAACAAAACTATTTTGGTTTATTCTTTTCTTTTCTTTTCTTTCTTTCTTTCTTTCTTTCTTTCTTTCTTTCTTTCTTTCTTTCTTTCTTTCTTTCTTTCTTTCTTTCTCTCCAAACCTTTTAGTCTGCAAAGTGCAGAGATTGGAACGTGTGGAGAAAGTGTGTCGCTTAAAAAGAAAAGCTAGAGAATTGAAAATATTTCGTTGGTTTTCCAAGAACTGCCTGCTGGATGCCCGGAACTAAAAGCGCAGTTCTAGCCGGTCCCCATCTCTGCCCCGCAGCCGCTATCGTCACTTTTGCAAGTAAATCAATCAGATCAGACCGAAGCAGAGCAACCGCGGTGCTGCCCCAAGACTGAGAAAAATCCACGTGGCCCACATATCTTGAAAGGCGAGGATAAGTTTTCCGGCAGCCGCTGGATCCACGTTTGGGGCAGAGTGGCCTGTCACCCTCCAAATGATGCTGAACTATAATGCCCAGCGTCCGCTGCTTTTAGATCGAAATAGTTTTTAAACGGGCCAAAAAAGAACCGGGAGAAAGTCTTAATCTAGAGGTTAATTCAAAGGTTGGATATAGTTACGGAGGGAGAGGTCCTCTCCGCGTGTCCTCCTTTAAATTAAGGCAGGTAGCACGTCTAGGGGGCAGCAGGTTGAAGAAAACCTATTTAGGCCTAGCTGAAGGTGTTTCGACAAAATTTTATTCATTTTTCTAGGAAAATGCGAAGTTCAGAATTTAACCCGTCGTAGCGCTCAACCGGCGTTTTCCTCCAGTGTTTCAGGGAAGCGTCTTTACCTCTTCAGCTCGTTTCATTTCCAAAAGGAAGATTGTTCAGGGTCGTTGAACAGAATACTGTGTGATACTCACCTCCAGAAGATCCAAACTCGAAAGACCCTTACTCTCTTCAGATGTTCCTCAAAATCTTATAAAAGGACTTCTGACCTGAGAAAGGGAAGTCCCCAGCCTATGCTCTGGAACCTTATCAGTCATGTAGGAAGGAGCTACACCGCTCTGAATAGGAGATGGGTTACTGAACGAATGAATCAATGAATCAATGAATCAATCAATCAATCAATGGATTTTTGCATGATCAGAAAATGACCTGGTCTTAGAAGAGAGTGGAGAAGATGGGACAGAAGCAAAGTAGTTTGCTTACTTAAACTTTTGGCATAGTGTTCCTCTTATTGGCCTCACAACAATTCTGTGAGGTAAGTTAAGCTGAAACAATAAATGACCAAAAGAAATCAAATTAGGGATCTTTTAAGCAAGGACTGTTCAACTCATAAATCCTGCTATTTCTTGAACGTCACTATGGCTTACATAGCATAATAGGAGTTTATAGTGATTCAAACTCTTTAAGCTTAATTTCCTAGCCAGGAAGAGGCCAGGAACCAAAGTAAAAAGCTTTGATGTCCTTAGTTCTATCATTGAGTTAAGGACCAAAGTAATATACCTTGATAATCTGGAACTTAATAAGAGAAGAATCTCTGCTACCTATTGAAGTGCAGTTTCCCTTTCAGTTCCTCATCTCTTCCCACATCCCAAAATTGTTTCTTAAAGAGAATCAGCCTTTATCTTCCAGATTCATGTAAGTATTGGAGAGCTGAGGGACAATCCAGTTTAGCCCTGAAAATGAACTGAGAAGTCATCGTTCCCATTTTTCTGTAGGAAGTTACTCAGAATTTGCCAATGAATTTGATTTTCTTCTTGGCATCTCTAGCCAAGTGGTTTAAGGGCACCAGAGTTGTTGCTTTCCCATACTATACCCCTCCCTTTCAGCCAAAGTGATTTTGCATTATCTGGAATTTACTCACTTCTGATCTAACAGAACCATCCCACAAAATGCATCAGATGGAGCTTTTAATAAGCCACAAGTAAGATGCTGGAAAAAAGGCATAAACACAAGCCCTTCAAGTACTGCCAATGAATATTAAACTTAGTGGATAATTTAAAAGGGGGAGTGGGAGTGGGAAGAACATAAGAATTTTGCTTTCCTGATCAGTAGGGAAAGAGATATTTTACATGATGTTTAGAGGATATTCAAACATATCTCTTCTCCATCCCAGCTTTTAAAATACTTGGTAAATAAAGCAAAAAACAAAACAAGCCCCCCTAAGTTCTTAACACTGGGCAAGCCATGAAAAAGGGATCCTGTTCTGATCTGCTGCAGCCTGAATTAAAAATAGTAGCCTAAAATCAGAAAGTCAGATAGTGCTGTCTATAGGATATTGGTTAAAGAATAAAAATGACAGCAGGAGCAATGAGAACTACCTGTTTCATGTTTATGTCATGATCACACCATCAAGGCTGCCATTTTGAGTTTTTTTTACTATATCCCACAAGCACCTCTGATATCAATCTTCTGTTCATTCAAAATTCAGGCAGGTACATATTAAATAAAGATGAGTGGCACACACAAACATGTATTCTAAGAAAAGACATACAGAATGGCTACTAATATTAGAGATTATAATAAATAGACATCCTGGTTAGTACGGTCCTAAAGGATCTTTCCCCATGGCTGAGTTGTAGGTTTCCAACCTGTCCTTAGATCTGCAAAAACCAGATTGGTCATCAAATTGTTTTTTCTTACTGTCCATCCCTATCCCTATTCCTAATTCCCAGTCACCTAACTTTCCTCCAAGGTAACTAGTGATAAATTCTATACTCCTTGAGGTATTTTAAGAAAAAAAAAATAAGATATTACTTTAACATCAGTACATCTGTGGATCAAAGCTGGCGGCAGGTGGACTAAAGGTTGAGAAAAAACAAATGCCATGAGAACTTGGGAAGAGAGAAAAGATGGCAAAAGTTGGTTTGTGCCATGTAGTGGAGGAACAGCCCCTGTGAGTATGTTTAAAGCCATCACAACATTTGGAATCACAAATAGTAAAAAAAAAAGAATACTTTTTTTTTGCATTTGTCTTGATCTGGAACTCTTTAGCAACAGCAACATCCCCTATTTTAAGAATTCTCAAATTCTCAAATATTTATTTGATAAATGAATAAATAAATAAGTAAATTCTGAACAACAGGATAAGGAGCTGCATACAAAATTACACCCTAGGCCCAATAAAACTTTGAATGCTGTTTTGCTTTGTAAAGCAACACTTTCTTTTAAAGAACAAAACAAGGCTGCCACATTACTTCATTTTGAGCCCTTCTCACATTTCTATTCCTTAATAAAGTAAATGGAATTAATTCTGTGGCACAGGGTGCCTCATGACGGTAAATTGTATCTGTATCATATTCTAATTTATAGACTGCTGAATTTTTTTCTTTAGTTTTTTTTTAGTTACACATTTCCAAAGAAGATGTTTTTTCTCATAATCTACTTGATCTTTCTCTTCATTTTTCTTCCTAATTACATACTTTGAGA